CATCGTCGACAAAACTTACATCCTGGAGAAGAAGCATCTACTAGCTTCGCTACTTCGATTAATTGTCATTTCATCTGGACATGCCTAAACATTATCGATGTAACTGGCAGCCTTCCCACAGTTGTTGTGTCGAAGTTGAACGACGGCTAGATAGTCTTCTGGTAGTCTTGAGGATCATTTCTTGGCCCTCATTGTTGCTGCTCCAAAGTAGTAGGCAGAAGCATCTCATTTGATCTGCAACACATGCCTAAAATGTATAACGACGTATTATTTGGGATGTGAGATGCTCCATTAGCTTTAATGGCCTACAGCGTGTAAAGTTAAAAGAGAAAACAGAATCTGCTGGGCAAAATACATGTATTTTTTAAGTAGTTTCCGCCCAGTGAATGTAGTATCATGGGAACTGAACGACCATTTGTGTGGGCTCAGAAACTGTGCATTTTGCTTTATGCGTAATGGGAATGAGAGACATAAACTGGTGATAGGCAGTTCAGGCCAAGATGGCTCTGGCACAGCTTTACAACTTGCCCCGCTACATTTTTATATTGTCAAGGAATTCACGTCAACTAACAGCTCGGCACTGAGTGCGACTGAACTCAGCAAAACGACAGTGCTTTTATCGATAGCAAATTTGCAGGTACCTGTGGAAGGTGGAATTGTAATTAGCCGCAATGGATATCCAAAACCATCACTCTGGCAGGCAATGTCCGAATTCATGCCGCCTATGGAAGACCACTCGTACTACCCACCTCAAAGTGATTGGCCTAATAGGTAAGCTGCCGTTTGTACAATAAAATTTCAGTTCTTCAAATTACAGGAATAGCAGTTCACTCAGCAGCAAAACTTCTTTCTCTGCGACACTGCGTATTCATACAGTGCACGCAAACTGAAGTTGTTCTCATTGCACTGGCTCGCACTGCAGCAGTTGGTACTCGTTGGTGACATGTATGGCGCGCCTGCAGGGCAGATCTGCTCACGGAGAAGATCAACGATAAGAAGAAACAGCTGAAATATGCATAACAAACGAATTGTTGGATTACCGTTGTATTTTTGTGATTTCTTACTGAAAGTACTGTTTCAGAGCGACGAATGAAATCGGGATGGTACTGGTCGGTGGTACTGGAGTGAGTGTGTTTCATCAAATTGAGGAAGAAGATTCTGGAGATTTTGGTGTCGCTCAGTTGGGAGTAATTGCTTGTATCAATTATTCTAATTCATTTGTTGATATATATATATGCTTTGTGAGTGAGAAAAAAAGCACATTGCGCTTGGAGTTTGCAGGAATGGTTCGCAGCACGTCGCAGTGGGACGAATATCTTTAAATTCTGCGCTGTTGTTGGGGAAAATTTTTATCCGGGCAAACACGAAAACGAGTGAGTTCCGTGTTTCGATTGAGCTGTAAAAACCCAAATGGGTTTTTACATGTTTTCTTCTGCGCAGTAGCTGCAGAAAACGCATATTGTCACAATTTGCCTGTGTGTGTTTGTGTGTGTGCCCGATGCAACTTGTCCACATCTTTCAACTCGAGAACCACAAAAGCTAGGAAGCTGAAATTTTAGGGTGATGTCCTCGCCAATGTACAACTCCGCAACTTTGGATTCAGGCTTCACGCGTTCCTGCATACCACGCACGGCTCCATGACAGTTTCGGCAGGAAAATTATTATCCCATAAATTGCAAAAATTAGGAAGCTGGATTTTTTGATAATATCTACTGCCCACGAGCAACCCTGCAAGTTTGAATTCAGTCCTCCTCTACGTCTGGGCGCCACGTGCGACACAGTGGAAGTCTTGTCGGGAAAAATCATTGTCTCGGGAGCCAGATGAGCTAGGAGGCTGAGAGTTCCAGGAGAGTGATTCTTGCCTAACTTGCGAGTTACAAACTCAAATTCGGTTCTTAAGTATGTTGGGGTCTCACATATGACTACGTGAAAGTTTTGTCACAAAAATCATCCGATAGACAGAAATTTAAGAGTTTGAAATTTTGGAAGGATATTCACCCTTCGAGGTTTCAAGTTCAGCTTCCATTTACTGGTGCGTGAAATTTCTAGTGGGAAAATTAGGAACCAAAAAACATTTCAACTATTTTTGCACAGACCAAATCGCTAAGCACTGAAAATCCTTAGCAGACAAACTTTCTTCCGAAGGAACTGCACACAATGCATGATAGCACCGGCTGCCCTGGTGCGCATCGCTATTTGTAATGCGTTTTTTGCATTTATGCAATGCAAAAAACGCATAATGACGATGGGTTGTCTGTGTGTGCCTTTGTGTTGTATGTATGTGTGCGCGCTGTGCATCTCTACCGCCTACGAAAGCTGCAGGGCTGGAATTTTGGGAAGTTAATTTACATGCGTGTAAGGGCCTTCGTCTTCAAAATGGGCGTTCTTACCGGCGTGGCACACACGTGCGGGCCCGCCGAAGTTTTTTCGGGTAACTTTCTAACTCGGGGACCTAAAAAGCTAGTAGACTTGAATTTTAAGCGAATGTTCCACGTTTACTAGGTCTTAATGAGTTCACGCTCAGGTCCTGGGTATGTGTGCTTGCTATGTACGGGCCGATGAAATTTTCTTGCGGGTAAGTTGCTAACACGAAAACCAGGAAAGCTAGGAAGCTGAAATTTTGAAGGGATGTTTTCAGACAGCCCCGTGGCCAGTCATAATTAGCTAGAAGCATTTGCCAGAAAAACCGGTGCCTTTAGCAGCAAAAACCTGCTGGGAACTATGCAAAAAATGCATCGTCGCACCAGCAGTCGGTGCGTTGGCCATTTATTTTTTTTTAACGATAATGGATGCTTTCAATTAGTATCTACCATCTTTCGGTGTGTGTGTGTGTGTGTGTGTGTGTGT